ACGATGATCATTTATTGCCTTTAGCAACATAGAGGAGCAACTCAAGAACTACTTCCTTTCTCACTTCAAAATAAGAGTAGTTAAATACAAAACATAACACGTGTCATAATAAAAGCCTAAACTTTCATGCAGATAACGACTTCACAAGACGGGTACTACTCAGACAAGAGACATTGGGGTACCACATGACACCTACGTTAGAACGCGTTTAAGGAAGAGCCACACTGTGGTACTTTCTGTGAAAATGAAGGAGAAAAACTACACTGATTTGTGGCATGAAAACTGTTGAGCTACCAGCATGCGGCATCAGAAACCTCCCAGCTGTGAAACACAGGCGTTATTTCTTAACTTTTTTTTTTTTTTTTAGGATTCTCTGAACAGGAATTTCACCGGAATTCTGCGGCAGGGCAGAGAAACAACAAAAGAGAGCAAACAAGGACCCGCGTAGACCAGACTGTGGCCACCTGGGGGTCACGACCTGCCCACGACCTCGTCAGACGAGTGCGCCGGCTGGAGGGTGCATGCAGGAGAGGCAGGGAGGGACAGGGGACCGCTGGCGGTGGGGGTCTCTCTCTGCTGCAGGGTGGACACATTTATAAATGCCAGAGGGCCTTCACTGTGCTGTCACCAGCACTGGTGTAACAACTTTGTGTATGTGCGTGTTTGAGAGTGTCTGTGTATATGGCCTGGGATGAGTGTTGGGGGCGGCGGGGTCTGGGTGGGATGAACCGGCTCTGGTCGGAGCCCCCTCTCCCTCCCTCGTTAACAAGCTGCCTCTGTAACCCACAGGATATTGCTGTACACATGTAAACAACAAACAGAGAGCGAACCCGCAGCGCCGCCGCCGGAGGAGCATTCCTACCTCTGATGTCCTTCAAGCGCAAATAGTGAAGTCACTGTGGCCATTTTGTTTTTGTTTAGTCTTTCCCCCACCGCCTCCCCCCCCCCCCCCATTTTTTTTTTTTGGTGTAAAAAAAGTTGGACTTGAGTGGCTTGATTTTGCTACGTTTAATCACAGCTGGAGAAGAGGAGGAAGGAGGAAATGAAGGAAGCGATATAACAGAAGGGGCAGTGTGTGGCAGGCTGGATCCGCTGTTTGTACGGGCCGATTTCTTTTTCTTTTTTTTTTTTTTTGGCAGGGAGTAGCCAAGGTCAGCTGATAAACACTACATTCACGAGCCAGGATTGCAGGATGGTGGACATTCTGGAAGCCACCACACACGCACACACACACACCCACACACGCACACACACACAAATACCCCAAGCCCCATTCAGCCAGTCAGAACCCGGCATTCGCCTCAATTAATCACTGGAATTGTTACACCATGGTAATACAGAAAACAATCTCCATGATCACACGCACAAACAAAATTTCAAATTGCTATCATCCATCTCACCTGCCCCTGTTAAAAGCAGAGGAGTGGGTGGTGGTGGTGGTGGAGAGGGAGAGAGGGTGGATGATGGCTGAACCATTCGTTGGCCTCCCTCTCCTCCACCCGCTCTGTTTCTGTTCTCCAGACCCAGCCGGCGAGTTGATGGTGAAAAATTAACGGCAGGCGACCAAACAAGTAAAGGCACCGGGGCGAAGGGAAGTGGGGTGAGGTGGGGTGAGTGGAGGAGGTGGCGGAGGGGGGGATCAATGTGCGGCATCCGTGGCGGGAGCAGCTATGTAAAACACTCGCCTTAAGTCGGCCGCATCCGGTTAATATTTAATCCCTCCATCCATCTCCACAAAGAGCGTTTCCCTTTTTGCTTTAGCTGCCGTTTACTTTGATTACACAAAACGGTTCGGAGGGGGGTTGGCTGGGGTGGGGCGGGGGCAGATAAAAGAACACGGTGAGGTGATTTGCATGGGGATGGGGGAAAAAAAAATATTCTCAGGTTTGATAATCGCTCGGAGCAGCATAATGCTGGAGTGAGACTGAATGGAGGCAGGCCTGAGGAAGGAATGAAATAAAAAGAGGAGAAAAAGAGGTGGGGAGGGGAGAGAAGGTGAGAGAAAAGGCCGAGAGAGATGATAGTTTTGTCATGATGAAAACGACCATAGCTACAGGAAAAAATAGAGAGAGAGAGAAATCTCTCAGAGGGTTTTCCTTATTTAAAACAAGTGATATGCAAATAAAGCAGGAGAAGCAGGAAAAATAAAACAAACACACACACACACACGCACACACACACACACACACACACACACACACACACACACACAAAACAGTGATATTATCTTTCCCAGTTATTTTTTTTGGCAAATGATTTCTAGGGAGGAAAAAAAATCCAAAAGTCTAACTCCCAAGTGAACATGCAAATCTATCTGTGTGTTCCTGGCGAGCTTTTTTTTTTTTTTTTTAAACTCACTCACTCTCGTGTTGCTTTTTAAGCGTTGCTGTTTTTGCTTCCTCCTTCAGCCGATTGAAGCCTTCCCCGTGTTTACTCTGCGGCAGCACTGAAAACTGCATTCATTACAGAGTCTGAGCAATAACTACAGAGTCAACGGCATGACACATCACCATAGAATCAGTAAACATGATGGTGAATTCCATACTGTATGTAGAAAATATAGGCTCTCCCTCTGTATTCCTCATGCCTGCAGGAATCAATGTCCCGCTGACTTACCCATTTCCGTTAAAGCTTTCCAATCAAAGAAAAAAAGTTCAACTGCATACTAAAGACCCTCATAAACCGAGACAAGTGGGTAGGCAGATGCCAAATAAATTAGCGTTTCACTTTCTTGCAGTAAAACCGTGAGATGGTCGAGTAGAGATTCACCGATTACTCGACCAGACGTCAGAGTAAGAAAGATTTCCCGTTTGATTGACGCTCAACAGATCAAATGCGGAAAAACTTACCGTAAACCAAACCTACCATAAACCACTGCATGTACTTTAACTCACTATCGGATTAAAAATATTTGCATCTTTCAAAGAACCTGTGGTGCATTTTTTCCTCTTAAGGGTTACAAAGTTAGACCACAATAGGTGTCGCAGAGAAAAGGCTTGATTGAAGCATCTTTGCTGTTGATACTCAAGCGCACATTTGTCAAAGTGAGCCATCAAGATGTGCAAAAAGTTTGCAAAAGCATGTCCATCAACTCGTTCGATGAAAGCCAGTGAACAGCGGGAGAACCAACAACTCAAGGCAAGTGCAGCACATATCATGCACGAAATGGATCCAAACACTCGTACAAACACAACCAGAGATGAAATGAGGCTTGTTAACCTGCCAGATCTGAGAGCTGGACGATTTATATTCAAAATAGCTGGTGTAAGGCAAGGTACTGCTTCTTGAGGCACCATTTCTGTCTATTTGGGTTGCAAAGCAAGAAGCATTTAGGAAGCAGTAATACCAGCACGCTGGTCGTCAACAGATGTACAATAATCGTGATCCTGGGTGCTACCATTGATCAAGAGATGGGGAAACGGAGGATCTGACTGTTATTTCTCTCACAAGTCGACAGCTGGACCTAGGAAGGGGGGTGGGGTGGCGTACTAGAGGGACGGAGGGACGTGTGAGTGAGTCCGGAGGGGCGCTCAGCGGGCCAGGCAGTAATTCTTAATTGACACCTGTCAGGATAATGGTGGCAGTCGCAGCTGTTGTGGGAGAATTTGTCCGTCGTCCCGTTCATCTGTCAGCTTAAATATCCTTCCTAAAAGCCTCACCCCAGCACTACTCCTTCCCACTCAAAAACAAAAACACCACAACACCAGCGACCAAGATCGTCATTTAGCCGGTACTCCCGAGCACCTTGACATCAAGAAAACCCGATTTTACTCATCGCTTAGCGTTACCAAAACATTGCTTGGATAATCTGTTATTTGCAGGGAAAAGCAGCTTAAAAATCAAAAGACCGCCCAGCGGAAACCCCCTCTCTATCTCGCCTTGACTTCTGCCTGATGAGACGCAGGAGGGAACGGGAAGTTTTTTGCCGTAAACGAAATGCTCAAAAGTAAAGTTTCTCTTTGGTTCCAAGAGAAGAGAAAGGCGCATGAGAGGCGGGAAAGCGCGAAAGAAAGAGGAGAGGGAGCGCTACGAAACGGGAGACACGTGAAAGAGATGGAGAGGCAGAGATGTGAGGAGGATCCAGAGAAGAAGAAGAAGAAGAAGTGGGGGAAGGGAGGGGTACACAGGGGTTTGGGTGTCCCTGGATAGGGCTTTGGTTCTTCTGTAGAGGGCCTCGTCTCGTTTGTCTTGTTTGTTTATTTGTTAGCATCAAAGGGCTGCCTCTCACTCCCCCTGCTAACTGATGTAATGAGTGGGTAAGCTACATGTTTTTTTTTGTTGTTGTTTTTTTTTTTCTGGGGTTTTTTCAAGCGCCGAGGAACTCAAATACTTATTAGACAAAATATTCTGTAATTGCTCATCTTTTATTGATAGTAGTAACATGTTAAATTTGGCTCTAGCAGACTCTCTCGTAGCCTCTTGAGGAGGCACGGCGCTGATCAAGAAAGCAAATTTACCCACAGCTAATGTAATACTTTACTTAAGAAAATTTGAGATATCAATTTTTGAGCCTTAAATGTTGCATGACTAGTTCTCTCGAACATTTCCCCTCTTATCTTCCTCATGTCTCCAACTATGTGCCAGACGAGGAAGGAAAGAAAAAAAATCATATCAACAGTTTTCTATTAATGAGCTCTTAAGTCTTACATCCCCGCTGTGGACCCTTAACAAAATGTAATTACTCAGCACAACACCACTATTACATCGTAATTAAGCACACTTCGCAGAGAGCTGATAACAGTGACAGGAAGCAATTTATCAAAGCTTCTTTTTTTTCGTTCCTTATCGGAATTTCTCAAAAAAAAAAAAAAGTTCAGAGAAGAGTTTGTTTCTGCTGCTGCAATATTTTTAAAAAACGGGAAGAGGGGAAAAAATACTTTATTTGGGTGGAAATTGTTTTTCTATGGCAGTCAGCAGTAAGACTGCTTGTCAGCCCCAGTCCCAGAGGGCTGCTTTCTATCTGTTTCAGACTTGATTTTCTCAGACTTGGATTTCTTTTCTTTTTTTTTCCTTTTCAGATCCCATGACTTGCTGCTGTTTTTATGTGCTGCAAGGCAGGCAACAAAGCACATCTGGCTGCTTTAATGATATGATTTCCCATCATACTAAGCCACCTCCATTATGACCTCCCACAGAGACATGCTGGCTGCACTTAAGCATTAGGTATAGGTGTGTGTCTGTGAATGTGCGAGTGTCTGACGGTGTTTATGGTTCACAGTGCGCATGTGTGTTTTAAAGTGCGGCGAGGGGCAACAGACTGCGAGTGGTGGCGGGAGCGTGCCCCACCCCGCCGGGGGAAAGGATTTTAGTCAGAACACCCCGAAAAAGAATTGTAAAGAAATATAAAAAAAGAAAAAGACAAAATCTGGCGTTAAGATGTAACAGTGAAAACTAACGTGAATGGAGAAACCTCAAGATTAGCTGTTTTTCCCGTTTGATTATTTATCTATGCTGACTTTAGGTTAGAATACCAAAGCAAGCCTTAGAGTTAAGCACGGGCCGATTACCGACAAAATAAAATTTGTGAAAAATCACAAACATTTTTCAACGTGCCATCCTTCGAGGAGGAAGCGCAAGAGTTTTCTGCCCGTCTCTGTAGGTTTCCAGTTGTGTCATCCCCCATTTTTGGATGATGAATTGAAAAGTGCTCTGAGGTTTAAAAGCTTGGGACGGGTGAAGATAGCAACAAAACTGCATCGTTGACTCCCCCCCCCCCCTTTTTTTTTTTTTTTTGAATCTACAGGATCAGCTGCCTCACAGAAAAGTGTGATAAAATGTCACACGTTATATGACATTTTATCTGCAACAATTGGGATTGGAAGGACTAAAGAACAATGCATCATTTAAGTATAATTACACATAAACAGGGTGATCTTTGTGGCAATAAAGGCCACACATTTGCTATAAATGCAGCCTTTGAGACAGATCTGAAAGCTGATCACCGTTCACCAAGGCAGTGTTCTTGAAAATGATTCCTTCGCTAGTAATAGCGCTGCATGCAACAGCCTTAATTTAGTGGTTTGCTAACAAGAAGAGCTCTGACAAACGTTAACTGAAGTGGCGTACGCCTGTTATCAACTAAAAGCGAGGTTCTAGAAAGTTAGCTTCGATTTTTCCATTACGCCATTCTTAAAGTTCAAAATCCTGCTAACGAGGTGTCAGCGTGGGGTTTTCCTCGAACTGGAGGAGCAGTAACCGGCAGGGTGACGCCCATTCCCCATGGTCAGCTGGTCGAAAGGAGGCGACAACGGAACCATATTTGGTGGAAAAGAATCCGTCGCTTGTCACTTATGCTAACATCCGACAAGACGCGAGCTACATATCTGTAAAGCAGCGGAATGCAGGCTTGTGGTCTTTAAACATCAAGGTAACAATGAGTGTATTATATTAGGACTTTAATAAGCACTATGTTATATTATTTATGCAGGTGTAAAAACAATTTGCTTCAAATAAAATCTCTGTGTAAGAGCTGTGATACTGTGATATTTTTACTCAAGGTTGACACACAGCCATGATCTCATTCTAGTCCATGGCTTGCAAAGGCACATGTGGTTACTTGAGGCATTAAAAAGGAGCAAGCTGAGCATGTTTGACCTCTGACCCCCAGAATCCCAGATGTAAATTTAAACTATCGTTTTCAGAGGCCGGTGCAGGAGCAAACAAAAAAAAAAAAAAAAAGCTATTGACCAGGTCAGCTGAAGCCCACCTGCTAAGTACAGCGCCGCAAGCTCTCGCTGTGCCAAACACACACACACACACACACACACTCACTCACGAACTCAGAGGGTGTGTGGAACACACCGGAAGCGAACAAACCGGACAGGCAGCGGGGGGATCAATAGGTGGTCCCAGTTTTTTCAAGGCTTTTGATTGGAAATGGCTAAAAATATGCTAGACGAGAGAAAACCCTGACCGTTCCAGCTCTTTTTCCTGGTCCAACGAGGCAACGGCGGCGGTGGTTGGAGGCAGGAGGGGGGAGGGTGGGGATGAGAAGCGAAGGCTGGCCGTGCTAAAGAGGATGACTAAGTTGGCGTGGTCGCCGCTGCGCTCGTTTGAGTTATTCATTCCAGGAAAACTGACACCGGTCAGCACTGAGGCACACACACTCATGGTCCCGGCTGTTTCTGCTTCTTTCACACACACACACACACACACACACGCACACACACACACACACACACACTTTTCCTCTCTTTTCTTTTTTTTGGCAAAGCTCAAACACCAACAGTTGACTCAGACACTGTGAAGCCTTTGAAATTGTAAGTCCCTCCAGATTCCTTTTCAGATTTTTGCAGGAAGTAGTTGGTCAAATAAAAAAAAAACTAAACAAAAACAGATATTTAGAGCGATTAAATCAGAAAGGTGGTGTGTGTGTGTGTGTAGGGTGGGTGGGCATAAATCTCTACCTGCTGATTATTTTGAGGGGAGGACTATCACATAACAGCGTCATCAACCGGGAGCACAAAGGTCACCGTGTAATCTGATCCGCCCCGAACATGCAAAATCATTAATCCCTGGGCACTGCGATTCTCCGGGTCGGAATAAACCGGAGGCCTTCAGTGAGCTGGCTGGAGAGAGGGAGCTCATGTGTGTGTGTGTGTGTGTGTGTGTGTGTGTGTGTTCAGCTGAAGTACATGGAAACTGTTTTGATTTACAAGCAACACATGTGAAAAACGTAAAAAGCTCCCCCACAGGATGTCTAGAACGTTAAGAAAAAAAAACATAAAACACGACTCTCAGGACCGCTTCGGCGAGTTGATACACCAAGAGGCCTGAACCGTGTCATTGACAAATAACAATAATATCAATAAATATGGAAAACGTCCACGATGGCGACTTAGAGGAACATTTCGAGCGGGGATTTTTTTTTTGTGGAAATGGTCACGGCGTTTAAAGAAAGAAGAAAAGCAAAATTGTATCTAACGTGCAAACAGAAAAAAGGGCTGGGACATGTCGGAGCAGGTCCGGGTTCTCTTATTACGACCTTATGAGGACGGTGGGAGTAAAAGACGGGTGGGGGGGCACGCCGAGGTCATTAATTGGCATTGTCTCCTGACGTGATTAGTCAGGTAGCAAAGTCCATTTGTCACCTGCACTGGTAAATTGAGTCGGTGCTGCACTAGGGGCTACGGGGACTGTATAATATCAACTTGATTACATCAAGGCAGCTGCGGACTTGACACCTTACTGAATTTGTCAGCATTAATCGTTAGGACCTGTCACAAATCCATCAGCTCCGCAGATAATTAGGGCTCTCTCTAATGAAGCCAACAGGAAGCAACCTTACATCCACCAACACCCACGCCCCCCCCACACACACACACACAGATCCCCCTACTTCCCTCCGTCTCAGCGGCACCACAAGCACCCCTTATCCACCCTTTCCAAGCTGAACACACACACACACACACACACACACACACACACTTCTCTGTCTTATAATTAACCAGCGTGTTTCAAAAGACGAAGCAGTGACTATCTGATCTGAGCCGATCCGAGAACCGCCTCGGATGAAAGGCAGAGCCACTCCTTTTCCCGTCCTCCGCTCGTCCCTCGTCTTCGCCGCCTCGAAAACAAAGTGGTTCGCCAGAGAAGGAGAGAAGAAGGAAGGGGAGGGAGGGAAGGACGGCCGCAAGGTGTCACGCTGAGCAGGAGGACGACACTTCCGGGATCGGAGGGTCACGGAAGTAACGGAACGCGTTCGGTAAAAACCCTGCGACAGGATCCGGCTCTGCCCCGGCGAAAACGAAAGGGCCCACATGTTCGTTTGTTTCGCCTCCCTTTAACTCCAAAGCGTTGAGACAGAGACCCTGAATATTTTGAAAAGTTTTGTAAAAAAAATATAGATTTCTTCAAAAAAAAAAAGTGATGCAAATTTCTTATTTGATATGTAGCAAGAAATTATATTTGAGTTGCAGAGAAAACGCAAAAAATATAGTGTAGTAAATGTATCTACTCATAAAAGTTTGAGCAACTTGACAGTAAAACGTTATAAAATCTTTTCTGTATGTAAATACCAACATAATATGATTTATGTGGGTGTGGAATTAATAGTAATCTGCCCCGAAACTCTTTTTTTGTTTGTTTCTTTTTTTAAAGTCATGTGACGTCTGATTTTCGCCACCGATAGCAGTTTGAGATGTGGCACACAAGGAGGAAGCTACAGGTCAGTGGCAGCTCCCAGTAGAGCATTAGGCCAGACTACAGTGTGTGAGTGTGAGTGTGAGTGTGTGTGTGTGTGTGTGTGAGTGTGTGAAGTACAAGTGGAAGTCCTATCTGGACTTTCGTTTTCCTGGGAGAACGGAGGAAGACCCTCCGTTTGATCGACCGTCACGAGCCGTGATGTTTGCGGCTCCCGGCGGACGCTTAGCTGGATGGGTGGCGTTTATGTGTGCGTTTTCGATGTGAGGAAAAGAAGGGGGCGGGGAGGTCACGGCGGTGTCGCGTCACGCATGCTTCCCTCTTCATAACGCTCGAAAACCACGCGCGGAAAAGCACAGCGAGCCCTGGAAGTGGAAATCCGAATCCCCCGGCTTCCCAGTGTGGCCCAGCGATTCCAGGAAGACTGTTCAGTCGGAGAATCGTCTCCATCTCACAGTCCCTCTCCTCCTCCTCCTCAACATCATCACAATGATAAAACCCGCTGAGTTCAAAGTCCTCCGCGGCCGGGCCTCCCGTTCGACCTGCTCTGCACCTCATATTAAAAAAAAAAAAAAAAAAAAATCTCTTTAAAATTCTGTAACTGTCTTTTGTTCGCTGCAGTTGTTAATGCCTAACTTCAAAGGCTCAGCCTCATTAGCACAGAGGTAGAAAAGCCCCTGTCACTCATTTACATTTGTTTAAAGGCTGCAGAGGGGGGTGGGAGGGTGATGGTTGGTGGTGGTAGGGGGGGATTCAGATCCAAATCCAAACTAGTACATGTCAACCTTGTGGGGTCCTTTTTCCCAATAACTGCTTCTATCAGCTGGTCACTTTGCTAAACATCACAGCATACGGGTATATCTGCTCCAGCTGGGAGCGTGGGATAAATCCGGAAGAGAAATTTCTTATTTGTGTCTGGAAAGAAAAAAAAAAAAAAAAAAAAAAAGTGCATACACCCTACTGTACAATGTGCTGGCCAATCACAGGAGAGAAAGACTGGTTCCACTTAGAAGCACCAACACAACGCCACAGGAGATCTTTCCTACCTGTGGCCATCAAAGTGCAGAACCACCATCACAACAGACGCCAATATAATTTTTTTATTTTTGTACACACACGTGCCAACTTCAGATTCATCTAATGCTGTGTTTACTGAGATCAGATGGGTGCACCTCATTTTGCACTGATTTATACTGACTCTTTCCAAATTGTGGGTTTTCTACTGTTTTTCTATTTTAATATTTTTTTTTGTTTTTGTCGCCGAAATTACAAATATTCACATAAACAGAGTGACTGTAGCAAAATGATTTCACTCTGTGGTTTAGTTATTAGTCCTACACTTTCACATGCACATCAAAATAAACAAGCGGATGCTTCTAGCCCTGTTTTTTATACTAAATTCCCAACTTTATAATATTGTTTTGGCCTAAATAAAAAAAAATACATGCAATAATAGTAATAATAATAATAATAAAACAGACGGTCTTCACGTGTGTCTGATCGGCCAACGCTGTAGCCTTCATGGAGGGGATTTACTGATGTTTATCGGGGATGAACAGATCAAAGAGTGCCACATGACAGGCGATCAATCACGCATCAAATCAAGGATGGCAATCTTCTAATAAAACCGAAAAAAAGAGAGAGAGAGACAGAGAGAGGGGAAAAACCGACTCTCTGTGTCAATTATTCATCATTACTCACTCACTCTCAAAACCTCTAAACTCCCCTCCCCGCTTTTATCCTCACAACAACATACCATTTAGTTTATCTCACTATTCTTAAAAGTTTCCAGGGGGGGTTGAAAAAGTGGCCGGATCCGTGCGTCTTTTGCGCAGTTTGGGTCACTTTATCCAAACTAATGTGAGTCACGGGTGACAAGACGGACGGATTAGAAATGTGTTTCTTTTTTTTTTTTTTTTTAAACAACAACTAATAACCTACTAAAACGTGGAAACAAAAATGAAATGTGACTTGTTTCAGAAAGAAGAAAGGTTTAGAAGGGAAGGAGCGGGCTGTACCTGCTGATCGCCGCGGCTCTTGCTGCTTTCTCCTCGGCATAGTGACCGTCACCTTCCACGGAGCTTCTCATGCAGGAATATTTATTTAATTTATGTATTAAAAAAAAAAAGGACGAGTCAAAGTCTGATCAGATTTGAGGAATCATCCCTTTTCTGAGGCTCAAGAAAAAAAAAGAAAAAAAAGCACCAGGCTTCTCGTTTCTCTGCTGGATGTGGATGATGGCTGGGGGTCGGCTTCAGCGAAACTGAGGGTTCGGCCAGCTCCCGAAACCTCCGTGTCCATCAAATATCATCTTCCTTCATTTCTCTCATTGGCCGGCAATAAAAATAAAAAATAAAATAAAAAAAAAAATCAGACAATTACAGTGTTAATAATAATAAAGAAAAATAAAGCATAAAAAAATTAAGTTTTCAGTTCACTCCTTTTTTTGTGTGTGGAAAAAATAAATCCCCCTATAATAATCTCTAGTCCCGGTTGATGGGGTGGGGGGGAGAGATAGTTTGCTGCGCCTTTTTACGCACGCCAAACTACATATATTTAGATATAAAAGGGTGATTTCACCAAACAAATAAGGTCCGATGTGAGGGAGCAGTCTCCACTCCTGCTCCCGTTTCCTTCTTTTCTTTACCCAGACACCTAAAAAGAAAGGAAGAAAACAGACAGAGAGCAAGGCGTTAAGATGGGTTCATGTCAACCCCGTCCCCTGCACACCACCTCAGCCCGGATCCAGCGTCAGCCGTCCGGCGGAGACTTTTCCCTTCCCCTCCTCTCCTCTCCCATTTGAGAGAAAAAGAAGAAGAAGGAAAAAGAGAAACAGGGGAACAATAAACTGAGACATGCACTCTCGTACTTACGGTTTTAAGAGTGGTGCGAATAATTTCCACGCCTCATCTCGGACAGAGTCGGTGTGGTTTTTCTTTATTTTAAGGATCTCAGCTTCATGCGGTGAAGAGGCGCATCCGAGCTTCGCCCCCCCACCCCCAAAATATATATAAAAAAGAAAACACTCGGATCAGATCAGATCTGATCAGATCACATCGACAGGAGCGAAAAAACGTCTGCGTCTTTTAGAAAGAAGAAGAAGGAGAAGAAGGAGAAGAAGAAGAAGAAGAAGAAAGAAACTCCAGGGGACTGATCCGAGGTCGCTCTCCCGAAAGGAGAGGAGGTGGGAAAAAATGGGGGAAACGCGGTGGATCTGGAAGCTGTTTCAGACAGTCTCAACTGATAGACAGACGCATCGAGTGGCTTTTCCTGCTACAGTTTTTACTCCTCCCCTCTCCGCAAGCGTCACCCCTGACAGAGGAGCCTACCTGTCAATCTTTTTAATTGTCTTGTTTTCTCTCTCTCTTTCTCTCTCGTTTTCTCCCTCTCTCTCTCTCTTCCTCCCTCTCTCTCTCTCCTCTTGCTTTAAAAATACTAAACCTCCGTTTTAGAGACAAATGGAAGTCTTTTGGAACCCAAACTTACATCCAGGCAGGGCTGCGTCCAGAAAGTTTGGAAAAGGGGACAGCCAGAATGGGGGAGGCACCCGGAAAAAAAAAAAGCTTTATTGTGCTGCTGCAAAAATAATAATAATAATATATATATATATATATATATATATATATATATATATATATATATATATATATATATATATATATATATATATATATATATATATGTTGCAACTTATTCAAAGTTATCTCATAAAACCATAGAAGCAAACGTACACAGCAACACTGTCTGGGGGGGGGGGGGGGAACAACAGGCTTGGGGGCTCTACTGGAGATTCATGGAAGTGTTCTCATCTTGTCCTGCCAGCTGTGTTATCACCTGACTTATGCTGATAAGCTGTGCTTTTTTTTTTCTTAAAATGTTCTAAGAAATTTTGGATTATTAAATTCTTTAGTATCTGCAGGGGTGGCAGTGGGAAGTTTTGATAAGGTAAGGTGGGTGAGATGGAACCCCTAAAAATCTAAAACAATAATACAATTTAGATAACATTGTGCTGTGATAACTGCAAGAATAAATATGTTACAACTATTTCTAACATGTCTTTTCCTAGTTTAAATTCATATTTAGAAAAATTACTATGCATGAAAGACGGTCTGGCCAACGACTGCCAGATAATTTCTAAGGGTTTTTTAGGCATTGCCAGTGCCAAACAGTATCCAATATGGAGGCTATAAAACACTAGGAAAGTTGGAGAAATGAATCAACTATTAGAAGTTCTAATGGTTTGGACTATAGTTAATATAAATAATATTTAGTTGTTAAAGTTTTTAAAAATCTTTAAATTTTATGGGAGAAATATGAGATTTGCGCTAACTCCAAAATTCTTCTCACAAAATGTTCCAGGGATTGAGGAAGCATGTGCTATCAAAACATCTGATTTTTGCTATAGTTAAAAACATAACTAAAGTGTATTGGGTTTTATTTAAAAGTGTAGCTAACCCCTAAATCAACCTTTTATTTCCCAGCACTGTCAAAATAAGTTATTTAGGGTTCTATCTTTTTACTACTGTGCAAATGTTGACATTTTCATGTTTAATTCTGCATTATTTTTGTCTAAAACCGTCTCAGGAGTGGCCTCCTGAGGTCAGACAGTGGCTAAAAAGTTGAATTCTACCATTTGTTTAAAACGGTGCTTCTGCTAGCTCTTGATGCTTATTCTCGACAAAGAAGAGTTGCTGCTGAATTGCAAAGCGTTATCCATAAAAGTCTTTAACACAGAAAAAGTCACTAGATTTGTCACTTGTTGGTCTTTGATTAAAAAGTCACTAGAGGTGTCTGGACCGTCACAAAATGGTGATAAAATGTATAAATTAGCATCAGTGCTAACTGCACTTACCCTCGACCTTGCCCCTCAGTCTCATTTGGCTCCGCCCACTTTCTGGAATTTTTCAAAATTTGTCGGGACAAGGTATATGCTTTCACATGGGAGGGTGGTTACACTAATATTTGTCGTAACATATTGATAGCACTCCTGAAATGTCATTGTTGCTTCTTCTTACACATTCCACCCTCATTTTGCCACCCCTTCCAAAAGTCAGGCAGACTTCCAAGAGAGAGAGAGAGAGAGAGAGAGAGAGAGAGAGAGAGAGAGAGAGAGAGAGAACAACCCCGTTGCTTCCAGAAAAAAGAAGATCAGATGACAACAGATGATAGCGAAATGAAAACATGCAAATTCCACGAATCGCCAGTGAGAAAGCTCTGGTTACAGGTGTACCCACACAAACTGACAGGCAAAACTGGAGGGCGTTTGCAAATTACATATTCTTTTATTATTATTTTAGATGTTACAATTAATTTGTGGATGATGTGTGTGCGGAGGGGATACGTTGGGATTTGTGTGAATTGATCCGTTTCACCTTTGCATGTACTAGGAAGTGAATGCTGTGTGTGTCCGGGAAAGGGGAGGGGACTCCGACAAGTCAGGGGCGCTGCTGTGCCTCTTCCCCACTGAGCTGCGGCGGTGCTGCGTTTTAATCCCAATAAAACACACGCACACACACATACACATTCAGAGCGTGGTTTTAGCTGTAGATACTGCGTAGCAAAAGCGCGGCGTGGTTTATTTATTTTTACTCGTTGAAACGCGTTTGTTGCGGCTCATCCCGGCCTGATCTGATCTGCGCGCGCCGCGCAATGCGCAGAGGGGGAAGAAAAAAAAGCCTGTAGCGCAGGCTAATGGCAGTGGGGCTTATTACTGGCAAGTTTGCTCCGTGAACTTTGCCACAATTCGGAGCCATGGCCAGCCCGTCGCCGCCGCGGCTGCTATTGCTACTAGGGAGGAGAGCAGCCGGGTCGCTCGTCGGCCGGGCTCCCGCTGCACGCGCCACCGACGCGCTTTCCGGAGTTCGCCCGACGGTTCCGAGGCGCTTCATCATCGACACGTCCTACTCGGCGCACTTCATGGATTTCAAAGGCTCCTCAATACCGAGCAGCATGAAGAAGCTGGTCGTCACCAAGCTCAGTCAGGATTTCAGAGAGGCCGTCAGCGTGCGGACCGTCGCCGTTCCGACGCCCGGAGACGCAGAGCTCCTCGTCCGGAATCGGTGAGTTGTTGCCGGGGGGTAGGTGGGGTATGGAGTGAGGCGGTGGGGTGGGCTGAGGGGTTCTGGGGGAGATGACCGATACGGTGTCGGATCTGTCACTGTTATTGTTGGGGGGAAGTTACAGAAAGCTCTCCGCTTACCTCAAATCCGGCGACCGCGATCATCATCAGCACTATCATCATCACGAGATGGCAAAAAAAAAAAAAAAAAAAAAAAAAAAGAGAAAAACACAGTTACTCCAAGTTCCGCCCTCCCTGCATTTGTCTATCAATCCATCTCTCCCTCTCGGTCTCTCTCTCTGTCCTCCTGTCTCCCTACGTCACCAACCTGCACACACAGAAAGTCGGTGGGGGGGCTCAGACTGCCATCAGGAGATGATGGAGAAGGAGATGCGGTGTTACGTGGCGCTGGAGCTGCAGCATCATGTCTCCCTTTCAGAGCAGCAGCAGTGTGTTTGGGTGGAATCAGGCACATGTTTCCTCACAAACCAGCACCGATTGCACCTGAATGCACAAGCAGCATTAAACTAAGCATTTGCCTACTATAATGTAGGAATAAAAACATACTTTATAATGCTTGATTTTCTGTATTTTTCCTCTGTTTTTTTTATTTACTACCCCACTACCGACTGTACGGACAGTCTGATGAGGTTTATGTTTATTATTGTATTTTCTCTCCATAAAAAATCTTTTTTCCCCCTCATTAGGGTAAACATAAACGAGTGTGAAATGTTCTGCATTAGAACCTGGTTAGCTTGTAAGCAGAGATGCACTGATCAGGTTTTTCCTGCCTTTATTTTTGACCCAGTCCAACCTCTTTTATTCTGAAGATTATAAGGACAAAATTGCTGTTGCTTCCTTGATGTCGATGGAAGTTTTGAATTCAACAGATGTAGGAATTGAAAGCTCCAGATTTGTGAATCAACAAGGGGAAATAGGCTGATTCCAGTCTTATGCCGATTGATCGGTGCAGCTTGTGAGGTAGAAATTGTATAAAATTTGAAGCAGGTGATGAATTTTTCGAGGGAGAGCTTTCATCCTTTTTATAGATTGCCTCTGACTGGAGCTGGAGAATCAGCTAAAGCTGCAAGAGAGTTGTAATAATTTTATCTTGAATATCAAAGCCAGTGCAGCGGGATGTTTTTAATCTGCAGCGATCTCTACAAAGTGTGTGTTCGAATTGCCTTCGATCTGTGCACACCATTTGGTGGAGTACAAACCTAAAACAAAGATATGAGCAAGAAAGAGAAAGGTGATATTAGATTATGAATAAAGTTACACATACCCCACAAGTACTCTTTTTACTTCTTAATTTTTCTTTGTTTTTAAAGCTCCGTTTATGGATTTTTTTTTTCCCTGTAAGACATTTAAGCAGTAAATGTGACAACTTCTGATAAAACTGAAATGCATTTCTCATTCAGAGGCACTTCTCTGTGTAAAAACAATACTGTCACACTGTTCTGGTTTCTGTGCACAATGCAGAAAGATTGGGACACAGTTCTCTGAGATCAGATAATGGTTGTAATTTTTTTTTTTTTCATTTTTATTCATTATATGCATGAGACAAATCATGTTTGCCCATCAAACAGACCAAGCAAGTCTGTCTCAGACTGAGCTACAACAGATTTTTAGCTAACCAGTAAATCAGCCAAAAAGAGACATGTTTTGAATCATATCTCTTTAGCCTGTTTCATTTAGAACCACAATCGCAATCAAGTGCCATGAAATCCCATTTGTGTCTTAAAGCCGTAAAAAAAAAATAAAAAAAAAAATGGAATTGCACAAAATACAAATCAGCAAATCAGACCTTAAAGTAAAATTAAAAGGTGACATTGCCTTGCAAAAAGCATCATTGCATCTGTATTCCTTAGGATTTGATTTTGCCCCCAAAAACACACATTTATACCGAAACTGTCCCTAAAAGACATCTTTACAGAGTTCATTCAGTCTTTTTTCTGATGACATGTTATATCTGATATGTGACAGTATTATTAGTTTTATTGTAATATATAAAATATATTTTTTTAAAAAGTTAAGTTTTTAGTGCATCTAAACATCTAGCTTTGGTTGCCTCACACATTTTAGGTGTGAGATTCTGTGGGTGCCATTACCTTTGATAAAAACGCCACAGTTTCACTTTATCAACAACAGCAAAGAATAAAACTAAAAATCTGTTTGAAAACGTGCAATACCACAATAAAAGTGATTTGTGCTCATCTTTTACTAGTTCCTACACCACGACTGTGGTCTTTTGCAAGTGAAAATGTTTCCGAACATATCTCACAAATACACTAGTCTATTTGGCAGCCGTCTGACTACCAGTGTGCAGCAGTAGGTGGAGGAGGGGCAGCACTGTCTTCCTCCATGCTCCATTACGGCCTGGGGCATCTCATTCAAAAATCCTAGAAATGGCTCGACAGAAGTTTTGCGGTTTTAAAACCGTAATTTTAATGTGTAAATGATCAGTGTACCTTAAATGTCTTAACACTTTTCTTTTTGTGTTTTTGTTTCTGTCAGCAAACCTCTACATCAACGCCATCACGTTTGCCACAAAAAGAAACAATTTTCGAGCACGTTATCTTGCTGAATGCCGTTGAGTTTTCCACACAATTTCAAAAGCTGCAGGCTTAACAGATTCGGGCTTCATTTCCAAAATAATCTCTATATTTATATCAATGGGAACTTAAAAAGCTTCAGTATTTTCTATCTGTGTAAATCCAAATAATTGTTCCTCTTTAATAAAACCACATTATGTCTGTGAGGCAGCTGATCCCACAGATGTTAAAAAAAAGGAGTCGAATGAAGGCGTTTTGTTATATCATCTTTACCCATCTATAAACCACAGGAGCATTATCTACAAGCTCAAAGTACACGTGTGACATGCACAGTAATGAGGCCCAGCATGCGCCGCCGCTCTAAAAGACAGTAAATGATTTATTTATACATTCCTTTTCTCCCAGATTTGTTCCCAGTGTCGCTACAAAAAGTAAGATGAAAACCGCTGCCTTTTCGTGTTGAGGCATAAAGCGACCGTCTTCTGATTGAACAAAAAAACCAACAAAATAAAAATAAAAAGTTTCAGTTGTGTTGCGGGTGTCTCTGAAGACAATAAATTATGACATCATTTAATGTGTTTTATGATATGAGCCTTGTCCTGTCGGTACAGGACTGCTCTTTTCTAGGGGGAAAAAACCAGAGGTATTGCCAAAACAAACCTGAGTGTTTTGCCCAACAGAACAAGACTCGAGTCTTAACCTTCGTGCAGAATTTCAGGAATTATATCCCTACATTTATGATCCCATGAGGCATTTTAGGTCAAGCTTTTAACTTGCCACACCAGGCTGCAGCTGTCTTTTTCTCCCACCTTTTACACAATAAACCTTTGCATCTCTGTGTTTCAGCTTTGTGGGAATCAACGCCTCTGATATCAACTACTCTGCAGGCCGCTATGACCCTTCGGTGAAGCCCCCCTTTGACGCCGGCTTTGAGGGAATCGGCGAGGTCGTAGGCCTTGGCCTCAGCGCCAGCTCCCGTTACACCGTCGGGGACACGGTGGCCTACTTCGGCAGCGGCGCGTTTGCGGAGTACACGGTAGTCCCAGCCAAGGAGAGCATGCCCGTTCCCTCGGCGAAGCCGGAGTTCCTCACCCTGCTGGTGAGCGGCGCCACAGCCTACATCGCCCTGAAGCGCCTCGGCGACCTGGCTAAGGGTGAGACCGTCCTGGTCACAGCGGCTGCTGGAGGAACGGGACAGTTCGCCGTGCAGTTCGCCAAACGGGCCGGCTGCCACGTGATTGGGACGTGTTCGTCTGACGAGAAAGCAGGCTTCCTCAAATCCATCGGCTGCGACAAGCCAATCAACTATGCCAAGAAAGACCTCGCCAAGACGCTGAGGAAGGAGTACCCGCAGGGCGTAGACGTGGTGTACGAGTCCGTGGGGGGAAGCGTCCTGGAGCTCGCTGTGAACAGCTTGGCCACTAAGGGCAGACTGATAGTGATCGGCTTCATTTCGGGCTACCAGACCGCGTCGGGCATCCCACCTTTCAAGGGAGGGACGCTGCCAGTCAAGCTGCTCCAGAAGTCGGCCAGCGTCCGGGGGTTCTTCCTACCCCACTTCCTCGGGGACTACAGGGAGGCCCTGACCAGCATGATGCAGATGTTTGCCAAAGGGGAGCTGGTGTGTGAGGTGGATTGTGGGGATATGGCGCAGGAGGGAAGATTTGTGGGGCTGGAATCAGTTTTCAGGGCAGTGGACTACATGTATGCTGGGAAAAACCTGGGCAAGGTTGTGGTAGAGGTGGCACCTCCAAATGTTGGAGATAGCAAGCTGTGATTTACCTTATTGATGCACTAAAATCAAATCAATCTGAATAACTTTATGTGGCTTCAAAACTTAGATTCTATTTTCGTAAGATATTTGATAAAGCTCAATAAAGAATGATTAATAAACAAATATTAAGCATTTAAAAAGTTTTTTTTTTCCTGATTGTAAGATTTGAACAGTGTTCACTCTAAATCCCTGTATAATTTTGTATCTCAAGCTTACAGCTGTGTAAAAAGACAACCTCTTTTTTCATTGATATTAAATCAGACAAAATGTTACACTGTCAGATTTACCAAAATTACATAGAGATATACATCTGGATATTTTGAAGAAACATTCCTTGTGTGACATAGCAGAAAAGTCTAAAAAAAAAGAAAACTCAACCAAGATAAAAGGAATAGAAGTGTGGACCTCCACAGGATGTTCTGTCCTTGGGTGATGATGTCCAGATGCCTGAAAGTCCTATATTAATTTATTGAAACAATTCTGCACGAGCATAATCCACAGGAATGTCCAGTCATACCACCAGAAAGGAGATGGGTCCTGTGCCTCAGAGATAAACATATTTTTAACCCAAAAAAACAATACCTAAAGACCTTAAGATGCTGGTTGAACGGTGGTGAGTCCTGTACCAACACAGTGTGAAACTCCAGCTCTGCAATTGTCCTCAGAGACAAAGACCTTAACTTTACCGACATACATATTTTCACATTTTGAAGAAAGTGGGATCTTGCCTGAGAAAGTTGTCCTGGTTGTGGAGTATACCGGGTGGCATCTTGTGTGGGGGTTTTGCAACAGGAGGGACTGGTGCACTTCATAAATTAGATTACATCATTTGGAAATAATTTTATATGGGTCAAATGGGACCCATTTGAAATGGGTCTTTCAAATGGAAAAGGACCCCAACTATACATCTAAACAATCTAAAAAAAAAAGGAAAAAAAAAACCATCTCAAGAACAACCAGGTCAATATTTTTTGAATGCCAGCGAGGCGGCCTACTAACCGGACTTCGCTCACTGGTTCTGTCAAGAGAAATTGGTCAAAACGATTGCAAGAAGATTGTGGAAGGAAATCCAAAATATTTAACTGAAGTCATACAGTCTTAAAGGCAAATACTAAAGAAATAAAAGCTGAATTTGAGAAAATTTAAATTAAACATTCTTGCATTTAGCCAACAGAAATAATTTTGCTAATCCCAGGTGAACTAAAACTTGAAAAGTTGAGTCAAGAGTTCAAGTCAGGCAGTGAGAATTGTCTTTTTCTGCACTGTATCCAGTTTCACCTGTAACTTTTTGAAACAAGGTCCTGAAACAAAAACCCTCACGTTCAACCTCTCGAAATATTTTCATGTTTTCTGTTATTGTGCCTCACCTTCCTACTGCTCCACGTCACCCACCCTCCCCCACAGTCCTACCTCTGGAATTATTTTATACCTGCTCCCATAATGCGCTTGCTTTTAGCACTCCCAACTACTTTATCTGCCATAAATATTTTATGATGGACTTCACAGTTTTTGTAATGGTGGGAGAGTCTAGTTAGCGTTAGTGCGAGCTTGTCAAAAGCAAGTGCCGCTCCAGGTGCGCTCGGCATTTCATTGCCATGTTTGTGGCTGACAGAAACGGCGTTCACACAATCAATCTTTTCATTCACATGCCCCCGAAGCCGTTCGTAATAACAGCAAAAAAAAGAAAAAGGATAAATTAGTCCAGCTAAGCAGTAGTTGGACTAGAAAATGTCATTATTTTCTCCCTCAAACTGAGTGGGGGAAAAAAAAAAATCACTTAAGGTGAATGTTTTAGAAAATGCCCCCTGACACATTTTGTTTTATTTCTTTATCATTATTTTTTTGTTGTTTTGTTTTTTTGGGAGAAAAAAACAAAAACAAAACAAAGGCGCACAAAATTACTTATCAAGGTTATTCGCACGCCGTTGATCACGAAACAACGGTCCATTTCACTCAAACCAAAGCTTTCAAACGTCTCATCTGATTGGACTTTTTTAAAGCTATGTAGTGACATTAGTCTTCGAATGTCAGAACAGTCTGTTTCGTGTTAATGTGTTCCGCCGAAAAACAAACACCTGCTCTTTCTTGGCAGGAAGGCCCTGTCGTCTTCATGCTCTATGATCCCGTTATTTCCTCATCCAGGTGGCTGCTCAAAAATACAACTCAGTGTGAAACGCGTTACAGGTGTGACCCCAGCATGCAAAAGCTGCCACTTTCAAAGAGACAGAACAGGAGAAAACAAAATGCTGCAGCACACTAGGACAGAGCCATTTTGGTTTGGAAAAAGTCAAAACACGGTTGAAATGGACCGTCCAGAATTTCCACAGTGTATAACCCATAAAAGCTTTCCAGTAGTTAATACCTTACCTGCGGTAGAAAACACTCTTGATGTCTTCATTGAGCTGTAAAGTGATGGTGTAAATCCAGATGAGTTGGTCCTGGATGTTGAAGCTAACGGCTAGTCAGAGAAAGGCCCAGGTTAAAATTTCTGGTATGAAAATCAAATGTCTTCTATGTAAATAACTAATGCAAGCCACTTTTTTTTAATGGAAATTGTTTTAGGATATTTGTTTTTGCGTCCCCTTTGAATCAGCTGTTAGCACGATGGCGTTTATTCAACGGTAGGAGGAATTGCGCCACTGCTGATATCGCTACGAGAAAACACGTTTTGAGACAGACCATGTAAAGTGTTTCAATTCAGAACAATTGAATTATTTTCCCAATTAAAATATAAGGCTTTATTTTAATCATTATAACCCTCCATAGCTTTTTGTGTACTTTTATATGAAAGAATTACGTACTGTGACTGAAAATGCTTCACGTGTTATGCAATTGTTTCACTGGGGATGATCAATGATGAATCCTCCAACCTCATTTTACTGTGCAAACAATCACTGGCTTCTATATAACTAATAGACCAAGATAACACCAAAGTAAATGGTTAGCACGATATAACTACACTAAGCTGAAACAAAAATGTCAATGAAATAGCTGTTGCTGAGGTATTTTAATATGTTGAAATCAGATGGATGATAGATGTTACAGATTTTTGAATTGATTTATTTTTCTATTCTATGCCAACATCAAAACACTTTACATGCTGTATTAGTACGTTCCACATAGGAAGATCATTGGTGGTGCACTACCTTCCACCTTTACTTTCCATGTAAATAATAATCAGTGTGACGACATTTTATAGACTCATACAGCAGCAATAAATGGCTGGGATGTCTTTGAAGCTGGAGTTGGTTCATTATGGAAAATATGAGGAAAGTGCTTTTGCTTATTTTGTCCTTTTTTTTTTTAGAACATCCTGCAAACATTCGCCTTCAGAAACACCTCAAATTAGAATACTTTTTTTTTTTTTGCCATAAGATACTGGTTCTTTCTACTATAGAACAAACCAGGCTTCAAGCAACTTTTGGGACTAAAATTATAATTAAACTGCAGCCTTAAGACTATAATTAAATGGAAGCACTGGGAATCACTCTGACTGCGCACAACAGGTTCCCTCTGCAACACCCCTGTTTGTTCAGGTGTTAGAACACAAATGCAAGCTCCTACACGCCAGCTGCTCCGAGAGGTGACAGAGGTGACGATGCGCGCAGATGTTTGGACGAGTCCAGCCCGCATCCGAGAGCCGGACTGCAAAGGAGAGAAGAGGAGGAGGAGGAGGCCAAGTTCTGCGTCTTCCACAATTAACAGGAGAGGCCTCGTCTCGGCGTCCTCCGGGGGCCTACCTGTACCTCCGCTGATTAGTGAGCAGTCACAGCCCCAATTAGAGAACACACAGCAACCTGAAGAGACAACACTCTTTATTTAATTGGATTGTGTTGCTGCGTTCGGCTGCTAACTGGCATCGCACCGAATCAGCGTGGAGCCGCCGAGCGTAAACAAGACATTAAAGATAGAGAGGGGCCTTCTGAAGGTGTTGCTGCAGACTGCGACAGTGGAACAGGTGGAGAGATCTATGCCTATTATATGCAAATATGAATCGTTTCAAGATAGCGAGCAGGCTGTAAAGCTTAGTTCAATCTACTGCACTTAAATGTGTGTGTGTGGTGCGTGGGGGGAAAAAAAAGGAATTTGCATTAGTCCCAATAAAGATATGTTCAGATTTACTTTTATAGGGGAAGAAAAGTTGTGAACCGTAAGTAAAAAAAAAAGTGGAATTTTAAGATTTACACCTTTCGCTACACTTTTACTGTGAAATGTTCTCAATATCTTGCAGCATTACACATTCTTCGAACCTTTTAACATTTTGTCATATTACAACCAAAACCTCAACAGATATGATACATATATATGTAAATATATGTATATTTTTTTATCAGGGTTTCAGGGGATTACATGATATAAAATATTTGTGAAGTGAAAGGATAGAAAGAGATTTTCACAGTTCCTCCATTTAAATATTTGAATAGCCTTTACTCTGACACATTAAAATAAATTCAGTGCATGAGTTTTGCTAAACAAAAAGCATGAAGACGACTGGAAAAAAAAAACAGGTGACAAGTCAACAGAGAGACTTAAATGAAAGGCTGTGAGAACATGCACATTACACATTAACCTGAACTCACATGGGACATGGTGGTAGCAGTATGATGCTGCGGGAAAGCTTTTCTTCCTATCTGATCGGCAGCATAAATTCTCAAGGTCAATCTGCAAAAAAGAATGTGACAAAAATGTCAGTTTGCAAAACTGATGATGTACCAAAAAGATGTGCAGCCATAATTTCAGCAAAAATGTGGTTCTATGTATCCATGTATGCCACACTGTTCAGGTTTTTTTCTTAAATGTTAAAAGCATGTAGTTTCCTTTCATGTGAAAAATTTTCACAACTTTTTACTTAAAATCCCAATAAGACAAACGTTTGTGTATTCTGATATGACAAACAGGGAAATAATCGAAGGGGTGTGAACAGTTTGGCATTCAACTTTGGGTGTTGGCATCTCTTTGTGTCGTTCGGTGAGCCCAGAGTTCAACTAGTGAAACCATAACATGAATATGTTTATGTAACTGGAGTGACGTTAGTCATCTTTTCCTGGTTCTCAAATTATCAGTCCTGAGTAACTGCTGTACTTTTTCTTATTCAAGTTGCAGGGAAGTTTTTGAAAGATTCCCCCTTTTTCTCCTTTTTATTCCCACATTCTCCCCCCACCCTTCGCTTTTATATGTGTCACCTAACAAAGACATCACCCCCGTAGTGTGGCACGGTAGTCTACCTCCCAGGCGCCTCAGGGACACCGGCTTGCTGCCTGGTGCTGCCAGCATCCAGACAGTCCAGTTTCTTTCCCTCTGCAAGTCAGTCAAGACCCCTCTCAGCTCTCCAACTCCCCGAGCCCCCATCACTCCTACCCCTGCCTAATTACCAAACCTAAAACCCCACTCAACTAATTAGCCACAGCAGACCCAGGAGCTGTGAGTAAAGGTAAAGAGATGGCTTCATTCAGGACGGTGTATGTGCGCGTGTGTGTAAAAAGAAGAAAGGGAGCAGAATATTCATGCCTCCTTTTGCAAGCACATCTCTACATCCAATTAAAGTCATTTATTAAACTGTTTTTTTTTTTTGTTGTTTTTTGTTTTTTTAACAAAACTTGAAACGCGTGACAGAACGAGACAGGAAACGTGTTTGTTTGCGGCCGCACGCGCACGACTGCGCCGCACGCAAACATCCCCCGCGTGTCTCGGTGCGTCCTGGCAGTCTGTCGTCTCTTCTGTCCGTCAGCGGTTCGAGAGCTCAGTGGGACATAAATTACAATATGCGGCGTGCGCCACTTGTGTGAGTCTCAATGAAGGGGGAGGAATAACTTTCTTAATCAAGTTCCCCTGATTAATTGTAATAAAGGTGTCATCTGTAAATGTGTCCTCCTGATTGAGTAATTCGGGGCTGGAGACGGTGGGCCCGTCCCCGGTGATTGGGGAGGGTTGGACAAAGCCGGGTGGAGGAGGAGGAGGAGGAGGTTTGTGGAGACACAAATAGCTCCTGGGCACAGTGGCAGCCTTCGCACAACTGACAGTTATGAAATACAATTATCAGTGTGATCTGCTTAAGAATTCATAAGCAGCTTTACCGGCCAGTAAAGACGTTCGCAAAGAGACAGCAAGGAATGGTGGGAGGGTGGAGGGGGTGGGGGGATTGTGGGCCTCACTGATTAAATGAGGTTTTTATTTTGTCCAACAGATTGCTCACATTATGCTACAAAGCTGTAAAAGTAAAACTTCCTCTGTTAAATATCTGTTTTATTTCACATCGTCCTAAGAACATTGAACTCATGCAACTCGAGAGGCCGGCCTTCTATGTGTAATACAGTGCAGATTTACTTCTGTGTCTGCTTTTTCTGGCGCACACAAGCTTTAGATCATCAGGCATGTGTTTATGTCAACCACAGGTCTTGAATCAATGTAAAAAGCAGCTTTGAAATAGTAACTTCATTACATTTTTGAAAACAAAAGCTGTCCAAACCAACATGGCCCTATGTGTTAAAAAGTGTTGGATTCTTTAAAATCTTTTTTTTAAAAACTAACTGCACTTTTTTAAGCCGAGTTCAGTTTCACTAGGCCTATGCTACACTGATTGCTGCAACATTTGTAGAAATCAAGAAATCACGTAAATACGCGTTGCATGTGTACAAGGGAAAACGGAGACTTGGGATCTCACACATCGGAGTCTGTGACAAATAATGTGTCAAAATATCCACATACCTGCTTTGACACGATTCCCAATCAATATCGTCTTGTGTTTGAATATCTATACATTCTAATACGCTACTTAAAAGTAGCTACCTCTATCAATCTGTCCACACAAATAAACCTCCTGGCGCCAGGTTAAATTCCTAACAGGAAGTCTCAGTTGTTTTGAAGGATTCTGATTGGTTGACATAGGTTTTAGCTTTGCGCTACACTGCCCCCTATGGGTTTGGCATGTTTAAAACAACGCTCAGGGGTGGATTTGTGCGGGTTCCTGTGGACGAAAACTTTTCTGAAAATAACATGTGTACAATATTATTTTAAACAATGTAATGGAGATATTCGTTTTATAAAGACACGGCTACATGTGTACAAGTTCTTAATAAAAGTGAAATTTAAAATGTAAAAAAAAAACAACACCTAAACAAATGTGGTAAGAACATTTTTCCTTTGGATATGTTGAATCTGAGATAAAAACATTTCAACTTGACAGAAAAATCATATTCCGTGTCATTTATCATCTCTCTGTCGGTTGTCTCGGACTTTGGGACATTATTTGGACTTTTGAAGGGGGATCCCTCAGTGCATCTGTGCGGATGTAGATACATATTCAGGTGAAAGGCAAGGGCACCACTCACCAGCTCAGGATTAATGACAGCATTGTCACCATGCTTACCAAGGCTGCCTTCAATTGGCTGGATAAGGAAGAAGAAAAATGGCGGAAAGAACAGAGGAGGAAATATGAGCGTCCCGTCGGCAGGATGACGGACAGGTCCTCAGTCCGGTTCCCTCAGGCCCCCTTCTGTCCTCATTCTTTACCGGCCCCAGCTTGCTACAGAGGCAGTGTCTCTGCGGCCAAGGACACGGGGGTGTCAGCAGCGTGTCTGGGTAACATCGTTCATCAGGCCGCATCGGTAATGGGGAGCTCTCTGTGACAGTGGTCATCAGGACACAAAAGCAAAAGGGCCCATAAACATAACATGACAGATGGCCGGGAGGACGTCTTCGGACAGGGAGGGAGGGATGAAAAGCAAGAGGTAAAGTGAGATAGAGAGAGGGGGACTGTGGCGGACAGAGAGATCTCAGCCGGGATTGTTAAAGTCTTTGGGAAAAGTCTTAAGCACCGGGTGGTCTATGGAGGTACGTGTTCAATGTCAGCTGAGAGTGAAAAGAGAGAGGACAGGGAAAAACAGGAAGATTGCTAGGGAATTCCTCTGTGGCTGATGTCCAAAAAAAGAGAAAGAAAAGTCCTAGAAGACTAAAGTCAGCGAAAATAGCATAATTAAATCAGTTGAACTGGAAAGATGAATGCAAATGATTTTTTTTTTCGTACTCCAGTGAAAATATATTCAGCCACGCATGTCTTCTCCAAAAGAAACACCAGGCCTTGTTAAAAAAAGACTTAACTGGTTCAAATTATACATGATCCGTTGTCCTTCTTAAGCAAAGTTTTCATTTCCAGCTCTCCTAATTTCTTCATTTTCCAGCATCCCTGTTTGTTAACTACCTTTCATCAGCGACTGTGGCCAATTAGTGCAGTTAAACCTTTTAACCTTCAGCATCCTGCTGCACAGTTAAACTGAAGATCCAACATGAAAGATCCACTCGCCTAAACAGAGTTAGGATAGAACAGACACACAGCCTTGCAAATGTGTTCATACTCTCAGAAAACACTTTGTTTCATTACAGTCTCAAACTTTTATGCATTTTATTGAGGTTTTACAAAATGGACTAACGTACAACATTTGTTTGTGACATGCGTTTACATTTAGCCCTCTGAGTCAATACTTATAGAACGAGTTACAAGTCTTTTGGAGTGTGTCTCTACCAAACAGGTTTTCTTACAGAACTGCCTTGAATTTAGGACTAAACAGTGAAACTGCAGAAAGACGCTCCTAGGTTTGATATTTGTGTGTTCTTTGACCTGCGTGTATTGTGTTGGTCTGTGACCTGTCCGGATTATGTTGTACCTTTTTCACTCTGTTGCCATTTATTATTCCTAGTAGGAGCCCAAAAGGCAGCCAAACAGATGACTTAGGAGTAATAGGGGTATCTTCTATTTCAACTTCATCAGATGAAGTCATGACGACCGCAACTGTCTAAAGCTTGCGAGACAGCAGTCACCTCAGCAAGAAACACTGTGAAGCTTCAATGTCGCAAGATCTTGTTATACCATATTTGTTTGTGATTGTAACATGACAACATGCCTAAAAGTTCAAATATGAAGATTAGGGCAAAGGAGGACATTTAGATCTGCGTCACCAACAGAAAATGTCTTTATTCCCACTTCCAATATCTCAACAGACTTAAAACACGTCGTCGAAAGAAATGCTAAAAATAAAACACCCCATAAAAACTCTGCCTCGGTAAAAGTTAGTTCATAATTGTGGAAGTGACAGCAATGACAGAAAGTGCGAAACAGGTTGTGTGAAAAAGTAGAGGTGAGGGTGTCAGGGGTTGTCGCAGAGTCAACTGCAGAACCTGTTGGAGGTCCCTGCAGAGAGGAGACGATTGTCGTGTTGGCAACACCTTTATCGCCTCAGGATGTATGCGCCGTCTTTCGCATGTTTACAGGAACGTCTTCTCCCCAAACGAGAGCCATCCTGCGCAAAACATGGGAAAACGCAGCTCCGTGGCCTCCGCAGGTTCGGCCTCCCTCCGTCTCTCTTTGTTTTGTGGAAACAGACCAGCCCATCCATTAATCGTCAGCCATCCATCCCTGCGCACCTGTATATAAAAGGGAAATTAGAATATCCATCACTTGAGCAAAACGTCGACATGATTGATGGGTTAGTCACAGGATCCCTCCATCCCCCCACACACACACACACACACTCAAGTGTGTGTTTCGGGAGTGAGAAGTGAACATTATCTAGTGCCATGATCAGATTTAGTCCACGCATTTCCATCCGGGAGAGCTTTCTGAGTGGATGAGGCGAGCTGGCAGAAGGCTTGTGGAAATCTAATATCATAAGGCTTTTTTGGTTTGTTAGACTTGTTATTCGCAGAGTGGGCTGGTGACACTTCTGATATAACAGCGTAAGACAATGTAACGAGGCAGAATCTCATTTTGTTGAAGCGCTTCCGTCAAACTGTGGTCTGAAGGATGATGGGGAAAATCTGTGCAACCAGGTTTTGAGTGGGGTGTGCTAAGACTAAAATACCAACCGTTCTTGAAGAAAAGTCTTAGATAAATAACAGGAAACATCCCTGGAGAAGGCGACATTAATGCCAGAAAGCGCAGAATGCTCATTTGCTGTTTATGAAGGGAAACCATATTTAAACTAAACAGAATAAATAGATGCTAAAGAATTAAGCTTGAGATAAAGACTAATGACTGATGCATCTTTATACACCCATCAGACATAATCACACAGGAAGTGAATAACACTGATTATCTCCCAATCATGCCACCTGTTAGTGGGTGGGATATGTTAGGCAGTAAAAGAAAAACTGTCTTAAAGTGAATCTGTTAGAATCTACAACAAAAAATTTGGCAAACATGAAAATCTGAGTGATTTTGGCAAGAACCAAATCGTAATGGTCTGACGTCTGGGTCAATGTTCAGTGACAAATCCAGTCCAATAGATGAGTTAGAATAGCTCAGATTGATGACGTTAAAGCCAGTTCTGATCCTAAGGTCTTAGTATACAAAGTACATAAAGTACACATTAGATGCAGCTCTGTAAATCCCACCAAAAATTACAAGAAATTTTCCTTTGGCCAAGCTCAAAGTTGGAGCTAGAACTTTGGGTGAGGAAATACAAAGAACTAGTAGTAAGCAATCATTGACACTGCTCAGTGCTGGAGCAGGTTGGGTGGAACATGAACTTTGACACTTACCAGAGGAATGTTGTTCAGGCCACATTCAGCAGGATGCCAGAAAGCAAAACAGGATTATTTAAATAAAAAATGACAAAACACAAATTTGCAAGTGATTTGACTTTTCAAACGTTTTTTTTTTTTTTTTAGGGTTCGGGATTAGCTTGAAGAGCACAACAGAGTCCGTCTTACGTTTCATATTCCCCATATTTCAGTCCGGTAGAGCATCTTCTGTGAGACGGACAGATTTACACCTTAGAGGCTCCACCTCCAACTTCCAGAAAGTAAAATGTCTCCTGCCTATATCTTTGTACCAGATATCACTGCATACCTTCACATGAAAATAGGATCAACACATTTTAAGCAGGTGGCCATAATGCTATATTTGAAAGGTGTGCATCTACAGTAGAGGCACTGGTGTCTGCCCTCCACTGTCCATTTGTTTGCCTGTTTGCGTGTGTGTGTGTGTGTGTGTGTGTGTGTGTGTGCTTTGATGGGCTGGAGACAGGAGCCCTATCGCTGCAGGATGGAGAAAGGTGAACAGGAAACAGAAGGTGCCCATGGAGGAGGTATGTGACATCTGTCAGATCCAGTGTGGGTGTGGGGATTCAACGCGCCCCCCTCCCCCTTCCGCCTGGCCGAGGGTCACGCATCGCACCGCAGTCGCTGAAGTTGTCACGACACCATGACACTTCCTTGGCAGTGGTGGCCAGACAGCCTCAGACGGCGAAGACACACACGTGTTTTTTTTTTTGTTTTTTTTTGAGTAAATTTGTCTTAAGGTAGCAGGGGGAGGGGGGGTGCACTGTTTGTTCTCTCTCCAAACAGAAACGTCTTGCTTATTCTTGTTTCTATTTTTCTTCTCCCCCCCTTCTCCTTTCCACGTCAGGGTCTCTTGGACAGCGGAAGGTCAGGTGACATGGCAAGGTCGAGAAACAAACAAACAAACAAACAAACAGAAGGAATTAAAACGGAGAGAAAACAGACCAGATGAAATGTGGCGGCGTGTTTTTTAAGCGCGGCGAAGCTGATGGCTTGTAGCAGCCATTACTCTCTGTGGTGTCCTCTGCCCCCCATTGGTCGCAACAACACCTCCTGGCACGGCTGCCACTGTCACATCAGCTCATATTTCCGCTTAACTACATGGACAATGAGGGCCATTTCACACCGGGATCGGTTCAGCGCTTCGTGCTCTTCAGGCAGCAGCGTCTGTTCAAGGTGGGAAAGGTCATTCGCAGTAGATTTAATAAAAAATGCGTTTTCCTAAGCCAGCGTGAGCTCAAATTAGATTTAGTCATTTGTTTTGTCTTTGTGGAGGCGAAAACAAAGAAAATACCGCAAAAATTGTTGAAATCATTTTTACTATTGTCTGATTCCAGACCCCATGACCAACAGCCACACAGCTTTTTTTTTTTTTTTAAATGAAATGACAATTTGGGTTTGATTGTCTAATCAGGCTGATTGAAGCAATGCCCCCCTGCGCCTCTTCTCTGTAAATAGAAGTGGTCTGGTAACCCTTTTAACACA